GTCGATGAGTTTGGTGGGTCTATTGTAAATGCTCTAAAGTTCTGGGATCATAATGAGTAAAGTGTGATATCGCTTTAAGGAAGATCAACAAGCTTTTGTTGGTAGTAGATGGATTCTTGACTTACAAGTATATGGATCTGATGAGGAGGAAAGATGATCAAGTGTGCCTTTTGGAGTTGACAGTGAAAAAGCCTATGACCATGCTTCTTGGTCTTTTCTCATTTATACAGTGGAAGGATGGGCTTCAGTGAGAAATAGAGTAAACACGTACCCCAATGCATCTCAACTCTCTTCTCTGGGTCATTATCTATGTGGGTCATCAAGTTTCTTCCAATCATCTAGGGACCAACATCTAGGAGATCCACTTTCACTCTCTTTGTTCATTCTGGCGATTGACGCTTTAAACCACCTTATCCTTAAAGCTAAGGAGTTGGGTCTTATCAAGGGTTTTTTGGCAGTGATGAACATCATTTGGTGGTTTAATCCATTTTTATGGTTGCAGATGACACTACTTTTTTTTAAGCTTCAAAAGGAACTTACCAACTTCAGATGCGTTTTACTATATTTTCAGGCTGTGTTGGGTTTAAAGATAAACTATGGTAAATTAAAGGTGGTTAGTATCAGTGCTAGTGCTATGTTGCTTGTATGGCTCATGGTCTGGGTTGCAAAGCCAGTGCCTTCCATTAAGTACTTGCTGCTCCCCCAATGCCAATATCAAGGATTTGTCTTTATGGGATCCTATCATGCCTAAAATAGAAAAGAGGCTGGTTGGGGTGGAAGAAGAACTATTTGTCAACTGGAGACAGGCTCATGCTCATCAAAGGTTCCTAGTCTAACCTCCTTATTTATTTACTTTGACAATTCTCCATCCCTGCAGTGGTTGCAAAAAGGATTTAAGCGATTCAATGCCTAACTTGTGTGGCAATTCTGATGGGCATAGGAATTTCCATTCAGTCACTTGGGATTAGCTGAAGAAACCTTTGAGGTTTGGCAGCCTTGGGATTGGGCTGTTGGTCTCTGTCAAGAAAGCTTTTCTGGCGAATGCCAACATAGATATTTGTTCTAATAATGGCACATTTTTTTCTGGGAAGGGCACCTTCTGGTGGAGGTTTCTGAGTGCCAAATTCGGTTTGCACCTGACAGCTGGCAATCTAAGGTAGGCAAAGGTGCTGTTGGTCAGAGTCGTTGGAGGCATATTTTCCATAATTGGCATGTGGTTATTGGGCACACTCAGTTTAGAGTTAGTGAGATATACTAGTATTAGACTTTGGCATGATCCATGGTGCATTCCTTTGAAAGACTCCTTTCTTTTATTTCTAAGTTGCACGCTTCAAGGAGGGTAAAGTGAGGGGATTGTTTTATGGTGGACAATGGTGGAATCACAATGGGTTCTCCTTCTCAGTGGGAACAACTGCATTGCTTGGCATCTTGATATAACTTATCCTTCTCTCTAAAAAAAAATAACTATTTTAGGTCGTTACTCAATGTTGTAGGTTCAAATCCTATCGAGCACGACAAGTACCAAAGAGGTGCAAACTTATGTACAAAATTATTTACATATCAATTAGTGTATTAATTAGTTTTCCTTAATTCTCCATAGAATAATTAAGTTGACCCATAACCAAAACACTAAAGGTTTGGAACCATCTCTCTCTAATTCTACCAATACCTTCCTCCAGCTCCACAAAAACTCTCATATTTATTTCTTTCCACACAACCCAAAAAATTGCCAATTGGATTAGCCCCAAAGGTTTTTTCGGCTCATGATATCCTTCCGAGCCCATATCTCTTCCTTAATAGTGCCAGCCATGACCCAATTATATCCGAGAATCCGAAAAGCCTTAAACCATAAGCTATATGCAATGGGGCACTGAAGCAAAATATGGTCGCAAGTCTCCTCCCTCTCACATAAGCATAACCAATTAACCAGAATCTTCCCTCTTCTTATTAGTTAATCAATGGTCAATACACACCCATGAACTAATTTCCAAGCAAAAAAAATATCTTTGGAGTGGTGTTCACCTTCTAGATATACCTGAACGGAAAATTGCCCTTGATTGGTTCTTTCTTGTCCAAATATTTGTAGGAAGTCCCCATAGTGAACTTCCTAGTTCCACTAACAGTCCATACCAGTTGGTCATAATCCTCATTCAGCAAAACTGATGTCAAAGAGCTCAAAAGAGGTTCATATTCATTTACTTCTTATTCAGTGAGATTCTGCACGACCTCCACATGCCACTCCCTGAGTACCCCCGCCATTTCTGAGTGCCTCTTTAATAGAAATATCCTTATACCGCGCAATAGCAAAAATTCGTGGAAACAGATCTCTTAATGCCCCCGCCTTCAAGCCAAATGTCTGACACAGAATCTAATCCTCTCCTCATCTCCAATTCTCCAAATAAGTCACTCCTGAACTTTTCTCTTCCTGTGCAAATCTTCTTCCACAATCTGTTACCATGTGATCTAACTGAAACTCTGGAGTACCACACTCCATCTACCATACCAAATTTCACCTCAATAATTCTCTGGTTGAACTCAAATAAGTAAACAGCAATCTAAATCTGAATTTGACCTCCCGCAAATAAAAGAAAGGAGGAGGTCAGTCAAAATAAAAAAAAGAGATGTTAATTAATCAAAAGTTCAACTGATTACGTCTGTGCTGTAAATATGCAGTTGCAATGCCAAAGTAATAGGAGTTAGACCTAAGATGATTCCAAACAGAAAACTTTATTTATTGGAACGCGAAAAAGAGAGGTAATATATATGTCTAAATAGAAGTCTGTATGATTTTTCTCCTCTTTTATATGAATGTTCAATCTTATTGAACCTAAATCTGTAATTTCATCATGAACTTATAATTAATATTTTGGATAACTACCTTAACTTGTAATTATCCATCTTCTCTGCTTAATGTTGAGCAACTTGTGGCAAGTTATTCCATTGATTTTAGTTTCTTCAGCATATTTGTTTGTAATAGTGAACATAACATTTATAGCCAAGTGGTTGACCTTCCAAATCAGGCACATGTTTCGGTTCAAGTATAATCTGTTTACCTGTTATATCCTTTCTATGTTCTCTTGTAAGAAATAGTCCTCTTGTAATTGATCATAAGATCTCAATATCCAAAGCATCTCTATGATTTATGGCAACCTCATAGTTAATGCTGGTTATTTTTACCCATGTGCATGAACCAAAGGAAGTGGAGAAAGAGAAACCCAAGTTTCCAATCCTTTCTACTAGGTGGGGAGGAGTTAAGGATTTATAGTGTTAGTTGCACACGTTCTAAGAATTAGCCCTTGCTGTAACCTTTCCGTGTCAGAGTTGTCCCCTATTCTTTTATATTAGGATGAACTTACAATTTGAAGCACTTGCAGGACTTATTTGCGGACTTACGCCCCAACGTGACTCGGTACACATCCCTTGAAGAGGTTAATGCTGCTATTATAGAACTTGAGGAACATGAACGTACTATCTCAGCTGACAAGTCCAATAGTGAGAAGCACTCTGACACCGAGAAGTCTTCAATCAGAACTGCTTCCAATGTCATATCAGGAAATGGACCAAGCATCATAAATGGGGCTGATGAAAATGGGGGAATGCATGATGACAATGGAGACAGTGATAGTGATTCTGGGAGTGGCACCATTGAACCAGATGGACGTGAAGAAGAAGAGTTGGATGAAGAGAACCGTGATGATGGATGTGACAGTGAAGATGACGATGACGATGGTGATGGTGTTGGACCTGTTTCCGATGAGGATGATGAAGTTCATGTCAGACAGAAGATAACAGAGGCAGACCCTCTGGAAGTAGCCAATTTTGATCTAGAGCTCAGGGCTGTGGTGCAGGCAAGTTTATCACTGTCAGTAGTTCTGTTTAACATTAGTGATACTTCACCTCTATACATGCTATCTGCTCTTTTACATTTTTATTATTTTTTTCTTTACTTTATTAGCTAACATCTGATCTTTTTTTTGGTATTTTCTCAAGCAAAATGACTTATGTTGCTTTTTATTAGTCACAGTCTATGTGGCATGTAGTAAGCCAGTGTTTAACATTTATTGAGAAACTGGACGTGATTAGATGTACTTTTAATATGATAACTAACTATTTATTTTTTAAAATACTGGACCCAAGTGTAATTATATCCAAACTTTCAGAACTAATATACCATTTTCTTTCTGACCAATTAAATCGAATATGGGTTTAATGTTCCATTCCCTTTCTGACCAATTGAATCTAATATGGGTTTTGAATTGGTAGCATAATGACACAACCCATAATTTCCTAATGCAGGAGAGCATGGAGCAACGCAAGCAGGAACTACGTGGCCGACCTGCTTTGAATATGACAATACCTATGAATGTATTTGAGGGATCTACCAGGGATCACCACGGGAGGGCAGCTGGAGGTGAAAGTGGTGATGAAGTACTGGATGCGGAAACTGGAGGAAGAAAGGAGGTTCAGGTAAAAGTTCTTGTAAAGCGCGGGAACAAGCAACAAACAAAGCAAATGTACATTCCCAAGGATTGCTCACTTATACAGAGCACAAAACAGAAAGAAGCAGCAGAGATTGAAGAGAAACAGGACATTAAAAGATTGGTGT